CGTATATGGGTTTGGGCGTGTACAAAAGGAATGATTCTTCCCAAAAAAACATCAGATTCAAGCTTTTTCAAAACGAGCTTTTTTACATTGGGCGTTGAGTCATCTCACAGGTTTCTTTGGCTATGTTTGGCAGACATAAGTATCTACGTTCTAGCTTTTGTATTGTTCAAAAAGTCTCTAAAAGTTTCTAGTTATATGTTTGGCATGACAATTTTTAAGAGCTTTTCAAAAATTAAAAGATCTTTTTTGAGATAGTATAGGGAGTAGCATCTGAAAAAAGCCCGTAACTTTTAGTATTAAATTATTAATTAATCCTAACAGTTTGTATACCAAACCGAACTAAATCAAACAGTCAGCTTTTTACCAAACAGCTACCACCTTTTTTCTTTAAAATCTTTTCAGTTACTAAAAGCTAACAGTTATTAAAAAGCTCACAAAAGTATCTTTTCAGTTGGTTGTGCCAAACATACCCTTACCAAACTAAAAAGTTAGCTTTTTTACATAGCCGAATTGCTAATTCAGACTCAAGAAGTTTAAAGCACCCCAATAGGCCGGATCTTCACTAAACTTTCCAACTTAATGGGTCAATGGGTCAATGGGTCAATGGGTCAATGTGCCAGACACTCATAATTTATTTATCTTATGAAAGAAACTTGAAACTCTTCATGCATCAAGGACTCATGAAATATACCGTAGAGACCAACCAAGCTATGCAGCTTATAGAGATGGAGCAAAATGGGAAAATCATCATCATCATGATCATTGCCCCGATTAAAGTACAGAGAAGTGCAGCCTTACCCTTATATTAAAGTACAGAGAGACTGTTTCCGGATGACCCAAATTGAAAATCGCGTACAAAATTGCACGGACTAAGGGGCTGTTTACTTTTTTTTTCATTAAGTCCTGTATGAATTAAGACGTCTGTATGGATTAAGACGTCTGTCTGGATTAAGTCACAGTGATATAACAAGTTGTTTACTTTGTGTGCTGAATGAACATGCTGAATTATATCAAATGACCAGTTTACCCTTCTATATGGAAAAAGTGTTGAATATATATTATGTGTCTACCGTACAATTAAAATATACACTTTTGGAATATATGTTGTATATATAAATTAGTAATTTATTTAAAATATATATTTTTAACTTGGTATTTGGGTAAAATATACATTTTGTAATGTTGTACATTTAATTATTTCATTCGCATTTTTCTAAAAATAAAAGTGAACATAAGTACACTTATTAAAAATATGTTATAAACTTTTCAACTTATATTTGAAATGGTGTATACATAATTTTTTATTTTAGTATTTGCAACAATATCAATTATTATATTTATTATGCATTAATTTTTAATTAAATAAATAATTTTTACTTATCATGTTGAATTGAAAATAGTATATATATTATACAATTATTCACCTTCGGCCGTTCTAGAGGAGACCATTCGGTAGCCCCCATTTCGGGTGGTTTCCGGTGGAATTTTTAATGAAATTTTATAATCATATTTCTCGTGAAATTTAGATTATTTCCACAAAAAATTATTTTAAAATTCATTTGGGAAGTTATTGAAATACGTTTTTGAAAAATATTGCGTTTTTATATCTATTTTGGCGCGCAATATGTTTCAGAATTTTATTTCACAATTTTCACAATCAAATTTTAAGGTGATTTTTTTTTTAATATAATCTACACTTCATGGGGAACATGTCATAAAATTTCATTAAAAACTTCCACCGGGAACTACTTAAATGGGATGGACAAACGACAGTCTCTTCTAACCCGTCCAGACCAAAAATATACTATATATTTTTACAATGTAGCAAATATACCAATAAGCATTATTAGCTCGTTGGGTATTTGTTCACTCGCCCAACCTGATAATTGTGTTCAAATATAGTAAAATATACATTTTTGTAATTATATATATTTAATTATGTCATTTACATTTTTCTAAAAAAAATTACCCAATTAATCTGTAATTGGGTAAAATATACATTTTTTAATAATCATACATTTTTGTAATGAAGTACATTTAATTATATCATTTTCATTTAATTATGTCATTCATCTCCGGCCGTTACGGAAGAGACTTGTCCGGTCACCCCCATTTGGGGTGGTTTCCGGTGGAATATTTTAATGAAATTTAATGATCATATTTTTCATAAAGTGTAGATTATTTCCACAAAACTTTATTTTAAAATTAAATCGTGAAGCTAGTTAAATATTTTTTGGAAAAAAAATTGCATTTTTTATATGTGTATGGGCGCATATGTTTTAGAATTTTATTTTACTACATTTATGATTGAATTTTAAAGTGAATTTTTTTACAAATAATCTAAACTTCATGAGTAACATGCTCATAAAATTTCATTATAAAATAGCACCGGGAACCATCCAAATGGGGTGGCCAGACGGCGGTCTCCTCTAGCCTAGACTGGAAATATACGCTATATAATTTTGCAATGTCATAAAGCATCAACAAGCTTTAGTAGCTCTCTGGTTTCTCCTCTCTCGGTTGGCATGAGCACTTGGGTTCGAATCCCACCTCCAACATTATTTTTGAGCAGGAGTAACAAGGCTTGAAAATAGGGTAAAATATGGGCTGAACCATTAAGACGTTTTACGTCTGAGCGAATAAGTCATTTATTTCATTAAGTCGCAAGTAAACACGCCGATATAGCTGAACGAATAAGTCATGATTTCCATTAAGTCTATTAAGTCGCAAGTAAACACCCCCTAACTGTTGCTTCATAACAAAGAAGCGCAGACAATTTAGAGAACCGTTTTACTTTATTCCATCATATTTTCAAGCCAAAAATGAGTTAGTCTTTGGTTCCATTGCAAGTGATGGAATAGCAAGATGGGAAAATAAGAAAGAAAAAAATTGAGGGAATAGCTCATGAGTTCTTAATAATTGAAATCTGTAAACATTTAAATGACCAATAGATATTCTTAAATAGTAAGAGAACTCATGACTGGAGACTTGAGCAGTTGAGCCACCACAATTCAAGATTATAATGCCTAAACTAAGTAGTTGAGTAGCTCCCTTTACTAGTGGAGACTGTGGAGATGGGAGGGTATCCTATGTTCTCAAGTATATGCCCTTATAGTGTCATAGTCATTACTTCAGCCTAGGGGTGCAAACGAGCCGAGCTGAGTCGAGCCAACCCGAGCCGAGCTGAGTCGAGCCAACCCGAGCCGAGCCTGAATTTATGTAGGTTCGAGCTCGAGCTCGAAATATATTGTATTGGCTTGAGCTCGAGCTCGAGCTCGGCTCAAATGAGCTTAAAAAATTCGGGCTCGAACTCGGCTCGAATGAGCTTAAAAAATCCGAGCTCGCGCTCGACTCGCAAATATTGACATGACTCGATTCGGCTCGACTCGGCTCGATAATTTTGGTTCGTCAACTCAAATTTTACAAGTTTGATTAACTCGAAAGTTCAGATTCGAACTCGAGTTCAAGTATGAAACAATCTTTGAATATTTGTGCTTAGGGGTGGACCGGTTCCGGTTCGGGCCTGGGCCCGGCCGGGTCTCGGTTCAAGAAGGGGAGGCCCGGAACCGGCTCGGGTAACCCCCGGGTCCGGGCCAAGCCGAGCCTCGGTTCTATTTTTTTTTTTTTTTTTTGGCTTTTCCTAGTTAACCCCCAACCCTCCCCCTCACCCCCAAACCAACCCTAACCACCTCAAATGGCCCAAAATACCCAACCCAACCCAAAAACTTAAAAAAAAACCAAAAAAAAAATTGGCCCGACCCAGGCCCGAGCCCGAACCGCCATCCCACTGGGCCGGTTGGCCAGAACCGGGCCCAAAACCGGTTCACCGGTCCGGAACGGACCCGCACAGTAGCGGGCCGGTCCGGTTCCGGGCCGGTTGGCCCGGCCGAGTCCACCCCTATTTGTGCTTAGTATTTGCAAATTGAAATTTACATGTCCAAGTGTCCAACAACTAAAAGTAGATTAAATGTTGTCCAAAATAAATAAAAAATGACCAAACCATGATGGTTTAACTGAAACTAGAGTTACGGGAACGAAAAATATAATATCTCCCTAATCCTCAATTCTCATATACATTTACCAATCAGTATTATATATATTAATTTATATTAGTATTATATATATATATATATATATATATATATATATATATATATATATATATATATATATATATATTAAATATATAAATATACACACATAAAACTAGGCTTGCGAGCCGCGAGCTTAAAATTAGTAAGCTCGTTTATGGCTCGACTGCTTAACGAGCCGGCTCGAGCTCGGCTCGAGCTTGAGTTTGACCGAACTCATTCAAGCTTTGACCGAGCAGCTCACGAGCGGCTCGGCTCATTTGCACCACTACTTCAGCTCAGGCTGCTCAGCCAGTGAAACTGAGGTTCCTAAAAACCTCACAATTTTGCAACTGCTAGGAATGTCAGCCACTTCCTATCCGTATAAGAAACCAATCAAAAAAATTAACTTTTTTGTTAATCCAAATAGAATTACTAAGGATTAAATTTTCAATGTTAGCATAACTACCATCTACAGAATATCACTTTCCTATTATACATAATGCATGTTGTTGGCAATCAGAATTGTCATCGTAACTTGGCTCGGGTGTCCTGAAACTCTGAAAGTCAGTTCCAAGTCTCATGCACTATACTGAAATTTGGGAAAGCCAACCAATAGTTTTACAGAATCTCTTTAATCACCCACATAGTTTAACTCACTATCTATATAGTTCACTTGGTTACCTTAAGATCAGGAGAATATCACATATACATAGAACTCCGACATGTAAACCATCCTGGAAACAAGGCTCACAAAGGATTGACATAGGACTACATACATTTGAATGACCAAAACAAGGGAGATGAGAATGCAAGTTTTTCTTTAAATGAGAGAACTTAAAAAAAATTGTGTTCAGCTGAATTTTGATTTATTTGTTTAAGTTAACGAGGAAAGAAAAATGCATTCATCTATAGCAAACAAGGAAATATGCTCATTCCGTTCGAGTAACAAGTTCCTTCCTGCCATATTTACGGCCTATTGACACGTAGTTTTCGTTGTACGCCTTCACAAAGTTTGGTGTAACTATTGGGTAGTATAGTTTGCACAAAGTTTTCGTTGTGCACCATTAATTTTATTAATTTATCCTGAATAAATGTCCCAAAATGTGCGCGAAATAAAAAGTACAAACTCTATTCTAAGAATATCGGACATTGCATTGGCTACAATTTTTCATACTTAGAACTAGCAGCTAGCAGCACGACAGTAGAGTATCTTGAATCGTCTGAAATAGTCGATCCTATAAAATGAATAAATATATTAATTAATCAAAAAGAATGTTAGAAAAATGAGATTTATCATCAATATTACCAATTAAATATCCATGGGGTAAAAATGTGAATGTTTTATAGAAAATAAATGTCACCTGGCACATGATTGATCTATAGTCTTGACGGTCCCGGATAGGGTAAAAGTCTAGAAGAGGGTGAATAGACTTTTAAATCTTTTTCGATTTTACAAAGTTTTCTCTCCAGATGAGTTGATCTATAATCTTTTGAGAGATTAATAGATGCACAGCGGAAGTCTTTACCCTTTATGTTATGAGAGATTGACCACTTTCTATTTTGTGGAAACTGAACTTAAATGCATAGCAGTTGGCTGGGCAGTTAGCCAAGCAGTTGGCTGGATAGCAGGGAACTGCTCAGGCAACTGCTAGATCTTGTGATGAGTGTGGGAATAGAAAGGTGATTTAGGATGATGAGGGCAGTAAGAAAATATCCTTTAGTTGGAAGGAAACTACAACTTAATTGAGGCAATGGTCTAAGCAGTTGGGTGGAACTGAGGGAACTGCTGAGCCACCTGCTAGGATTGTACTTTGAATTTCGTAGCTTGGTTCAAACTGCCTTCTTACAGTTGATGTTCTAAGGCTTTGATGATGATTGAGATATTCACACGAAGTGAGATTTGTATGAGCAGAGGGCTCAGCAGTTGGGTGGTCACCAGGGGACTGCTGAGGCAACTGCTATACTTAAAGAGTGAATTCCTGAAATCTGATAGAACGGCTCTTTTAGTGATTGTATGACCTTGTAAAGAATGATGAGAGCTTTTAGATGAGATACTGAGCTTGAAGATTATTGCCTGAGCAGAGGTCTCAGCAGTTGGGTGAAACCAGGGGAGTGTTGAGCCACCTGCAATTGTGAAGTAATTCTTTAGAACATGCAAAATAAACCTTTAAGCAGTGATGTTCTGAAGCTCTAGTGAAACAGTTATCTCAAGGAAAAGTGAGTTATTAAGCAGTAGGGTAAGCAGTAATATTTTGGTGAGAAGTGTATGGATTGTGCTATGTTGACTGAAAGAAAATCAACACACAAAATATTTTGGTTCAGAGGTGGTGTAATCCTTCTACATCCAGTCCCATCCTATTTCAAATGGATTTCACTAATGTATTAAGCTCAATACACTTAGTGCCAATCTAGCCTTGACAACTCTGGCCTAGATTGAAGGTGTTTCACGAGGAGTAAAACACCACTCCAAGTTACTCATTCCTTTAGGTTTTTCTCAATTGATCCAGCGGGGATCAAGAGGTACTCATGTCCTATCTATCCTCACTCAGGCCGGGAACAACTGTCCTCCTGAAATGAGTATAACCACTTGTAAGAATACAAGATATTTTCTAGCCAACCAACTAATAACTAAGCTCTAAAGATATGACAGTGAAGAACTATTCTAAGAGCTTAGTGAAGCCTGAGTCAAAGCAGAGAGTGACGTTATGATCGAGCACTTTCTTTTTGCTGGATATTCTTTGATCGCTAATATGACTTCTCTGCTTTTGAACTCCAGAACTTGATTTCGTAACTCAGGCCTCAGCCTATTCTTATACGCGTCTCCTTTTTCGGAGCTTATGGGTTGATTTTGTCCCGCTTGCCTAGCCACTGTACTTCATACTGCGCCCATGATGTACGTCTTGGCTCCCATGCTGGATATTTGATTGGCTCTGTTTCAACCGCGTGGCAATGTGTTTGAACAAAATAACTTCTAAGTACTAATAAACTTTATACTAGTAGGATTTAAATATCCTTTTAAAGGTAAGTAAATTTACCTTATTGCATTTTTATTGTCCAGTAATAATTTTATTAATACTTAAAAATTGTACATTTTGTTTCTCAATTCGACACATTTTTCACACCAATATGCCTTTTGATAAAAATGTTCGTATCTAATAAATATATACCGGTAGGATTTGAATATCCCTTTTCAAGGTAAAGTTTTACCTTATTGCTTTTTAACTTTTCCGGCATAATTAATTTGATACGAACATTTTACTTGACTTTTGGTCATACTTGGTTGTGATTTAGCCCAGCTGGTATTTCGAACATAAAACAAATATTTAACAGGTAGGATAGAAAATCCTAATAAGCTAAAGATTATTTCCTTGTTGCATTTTGTGTTCCAGTTTAAATAAATGGTTTATTCGTTCGAAGTCTTTTAGTGTCTTTTTATGTAACACAATATTCATAACTGGTTGCATTTATAAGAGATCCGTTTAAGGTAATAGAGTATTACCTTATTTTTAAGTTTTTCCAGTTAAGTTTATTATGTTTATCATATTGAACAAGACACTCTTAGATAATATTTTATTAGCACATGATTGGAGACAAATACAACATCTTGACTTCCTAATGCTACAAAAGAGGGGGGGAACACAGAAGAGCTTTTGGCATCATCAATAATTGTTTATCAAAATCTAGGGGACTAACAATTTCCCCGTTTAGTGAGGATGCCAAAAGAATATAAGTCAAATTAATATAAAAGAGAGAAAAACATTTGACTGACTTCTTTCTTCCCCCTCTTTTGGGAGCATCTACTCTAAATTTCTTCCTCTTGATGGTTCTCCACGTGCGAAGCGTGAGAATCTTCTTCTCATTCTTCCATTGTCTTTTTCTCTGAGGTTTTCCAGTTTCTAATAGAAGACCCGCGAGATGAGGGAAAGAGACATGGTGGCTTCAATATTTGATACTTGAAGCCACTTAAGAACAAACTGTTCTTCCTCTCTAACAAATGAAATGGCCTGAGAAAGCACGTCCATTGGAGCCATTCTCCAATTTCTCCAGTTCAAAACTCTCTTGATTTGTTTATCAAGATCTTCCTTTTCTTTAAGGAATAAGATCCTTAATTCGAAGAGGTCAGCTTGATCTTGTTGATGAGAAGTCAAGTTGGGTTGTTGACAGGAAGATGGTGGTGCTAATGTTAGGTCGAGAGCTGGTTCAGAGGATGTGTTATTAAAGGAGTTGTTGGCCATTTTCTTAGGATTGTGAGGATTTGAGGGAACCTTTGTTTGGGGAGAAGAATTAGAGGCCTTGAAATGATGAGGGCCTTAAAATAATGTTCACAATATGACATTCTCCATGGACATCTGCTTAGATGCCCAAAACAAAGTTGTGCTAACTGGTAAAGGAATAAGAAGAAGCATGGTATTGATTGGAGTTTACAAAAGAAGGAATCTGCTCTCCAAAAGCAGATTCATACATGAGTTGAAAATGGCACCACATCATAGCCACCTCAAGCTCAAAAACCATCAAGTGGTACCATCAGGTGGTATCATCAAGTGATATCTCCATCTCAATTACATAACCATCAATAAGTAATTGAGCAAACCATGCAAGAGATTTTTCATGAAGAAACACTGGAAACGCTCCAAGCTGCCCTCCCAGAGAAGAAGCTAAAAGACTACTGAACTCTGGAATCAGCAGTTGACTCAAGTAAGCAGACCATGCCAGCAGAGGACTACAATGGGAGATCACTGCCAGCAGTTGACTCATTCTAAATCAACTGTCCAGACGCTTCAGCTAAACTAAGCACAAAGGCTTAAAAGATCCCAATCTTCACTCTACCAGATGATAAAGAAGGATGAGCAGGTATCTCAAATAAACCACATTGGTTGAACCTAAATCCTCCTCAGAAAATTATTGATAACTGGAGAAGCCCTACCGAACTCTGACTGCACACAAGCTATGAAAGAACTACTCAAAGAACATTTCCTGAAAGCTTGTGTCCAGATCCTATCATCAACATTGAATAGGATAAAGGGATCTCCAGAAAGGAAGGCATCATTTTTAAGAAAATAGCAAAACTAGGAGCAAAGGATACTACAAAGAAGAAGGACTAGATTTTGATAAAACCCCTACCCAAAGTTGCCCCAGTAACATCCTAATATCAGAATAAGAGTTGATTCTTTTTCTGACCGGAAGACCCAGGAGGATCTCTGTCAAGGTTCTTAGTTTCTCTGGTGACTCTTGAACAGAACACCTCAACTTCTGGTAAGATATTCCGGTATCATCAGAAGTGCTCCAACTCTGTTGATAGCACCAGAAGTGCTCGACGAATTCTGGTCCGATTCAATATCAACATTCTTAAAAATATGCTACCCATAAGCAATTCACAATCTACAAACTAGATGTGAAGGTTGCCTTCCTAACATTATCTACAAGAAGAGGAAGACCACGTGGAGAAGTCTCCTCAAGTCAAAATTAATAGAGAGGAAGTGTTCAAACTCAGATCTTCTAAGAAGTCAGGCAAACTCCAAAAGAACACACTGATACACTCTCTATACATTTAGTGAAATATGGGTTCACTAAAAGAAAGTAGACAAAATTCCATTAAAGGTCCCCAAGTACTACATGAATACATCAATTCTCAAAGAGAGAGGATTGAAATATTGGGACTAATAAAAGCATAACTCCACACAGCTTCTACATCAAACCAAGCAACTGAATGCAGGATGATTCAGACTTCAAGACAAAAGCTTGGGATGATGATCAAAGAAGAGGAATTGCCCCGTACCCATTCAAGACAAAAGCTTGGGATCATCGGCCCTCATCATTTCAAGGCCTCTAATTCTTCTCCCCAAACAAAGGTTCCCTCAAATCCTCACAATCCTAAGAAAATGGCCAACAACTCCTCTAATAACACATCCTCTGAACCAGCTCTCGACCTAACATTAGCACCACCATCTTCCTGTCAACAACCCAACTTGACTTCTCATCAACAAGTTCAAGCTGACCTCTTCGAATTAAGGATCTTATTCCTTAATTTGTTAGAGGAAGATCTTGATAAACAAATCAAGAGAGTTTTGAACTGGAGAAATTGGAGAATGGCTCCAATGGACATGCTTTCTCAGGCCATTTCATTTGTTAGAGGAAGAACAGTTTGTTCTTCAGTGGCTTCAAGTATCAAATATTGAAGCCACCATGTCTATGTCCCTCATCTGGCGGGTCTTCTATGAGAAACTGGAAAACCTCACAGAAAAAGACAATGGAAGAATGAGAAGAAGATTCTCACGCTTCGCACGTGGAGAACCATCAAGAGGAAGGAATCTAGAGTAGATGCTCCCAAAAGAGGGGGAAGAAAGAAGTCAGTCAAATGTTTTTCTCTTTTATATTAATTTGACTTATATTCTTTTGGCATCATCACTAAAGGGGAAATTGTTAGTCCCTAGATTTTGATAAACAGTTATAGATGATGCCGAAGAAGAAGATAAACAACAAGTTGTTTATCCTCTGCGATCAAAATTCAACGTTCACGATTAAACCATCTCAACCAACGGATGATATTAATCAACAGGAGACGCCTATAAGAATAGGCCGAGGCCTGAATTACGAAATCAAGTTCTGGAGTTCAAAAGCAGAGAAGTCATATTAGCGATCAAAGAATATCCAGCAAAAAGAAAGTGCTCGATCATAACGTCGCTCTCTGCTTTGACTCAGGCTTCACCAAGCTCTTAGAATAGTTCTTCACTGTCATATCTTTAGAGCTTAGTTATTAGTTGGTTGGCTAGAAAATATCTTGTATTCTTACAAGTGGTTATACTCATTTCGGGAGGACAGTTGTTCCCGACCTGAGTGAGGGTAGATAGGACATGAGTACCTCTTGATCCCCACTGGATCAATTGAGAAAAACCTAAAGGAATGAGTAACTTGGAGTGGTGTTGTACTCCTCGTGAAACACCTTCAATCTAGACCAGAGTTGTCAAGGCTAGATTAGCACTAAGTGTATTGGGCTTAATACATTAGTGAAATCCATTTGAAATAGGATGGGACTGGATGTAGGAGGATTACACCACCTCTGAACCAGAATATTTTGTGTGTTGATTTTCTTTCAGTCAACATAGCACACACCATACACTTCTCACTAAAGGGATCGTAGTTTGCCAGCAGCATTTTAAGCCGTAGTCTTAATTGACCCTACTGCTTACCCTACTGCTTAATAACTCACTTTTCCTTGAGATAACTGTTTCACTAGAGCTTCAGAACATCACTGCTTAAAGGTTTATTTTGCATGTTCTAAAGAATCACTTCACAATTGCAGCAGATGGCTCAGCAGTCCCCTGGTTTCACCCAACTGCTGAGACCTCTGCTCAGGCAAAAATCTTCAAGCTCAGTATCTCATTTAAAAACCCTCATCATTCTTTACAAGGTCATACAATCACTAAAAGAGCTGTTCTATCAGATTCCAGGAATTCACTCTTCAAGTATAGCAGTTGTCTCAGCAGTCCCCTGGTGACCACCCAACTGCTGAGCCCTCTGCTCATACAAATCTCACTTCGTGTGAATATCTCAATCATCATCAAAGCCTTAGAACATCAACTGTAAGAAGGCAGTTTGAACCAAGCTACGAAATTCAAAGTACAATCCTAGCAGGTGGCTCAGCAGTTTCCTCAGTTCCACCCAACTGCTTAGACCATTGCCTCAATTAAGTTGTAGCTTCCTTCCAACTAAAGGATATTTTCTTACTGCCCTCATCATCCTAAATCACATTTCCATTTCCACTCTCATCACAAGATCTAGCAGTTGCCTCAGCAGTTCCCTGCTATCCAGCCAACTGCTTGGCTAACTGCCCAGCCAACTGCTATGCATTTAACTTTAGTTTCCACAAAATAGAAAGTGGTCAATCTCTCATGACATAAAGGGTAAAGACTTCCGATGTGCATCTATTAATCTCTCAAAAGATTATAGATCAACTCATCTAGAGGGAAAACTTTGTAAAGTCGAAAAAGATTTAAAAGTCTATTCACCCCCCTAGACTTTTACCCTATTCGGGACCGTCAAGTGGTCAGTTGCTGAAGTTTATAACATTTATGTCATAAATTATGAAATCACTATTTCTGTCCTAAAGTAATAATATCAGAAAATTTTCCATTGATGAAAATACAACACTGACAACCATAGATCAGAGGAGTTGGAAGAATGATGTCTTACCATGAATTTGGATTCAACAAATGAAATACAAGAGGTACACATCCTGCCACTTCATTTACAGTTCTTGAAGTCTGGAGTAACTGGATGAAAGTGCCCAGCCAAAGCATATTAGGTTTTGGCATTCAACTTTTGCAGAAGGATCTTGTTCAGGAGATTCGGATTTGCCTTGCCTTTGGATTCCTTCATCACCTTTTGATATTTTGTAAACAATATAAGAAGTACACGTTTCAGTGAAGGATAGAAAACTGAGAAAACTTTGATTGGATTATTACATGAGTCGAATCACACACAAAAGATCGAATCTAATCAATTGGCTAGATTAACCTCAAGACTTTATAAGCCCGCCAATCTCTTTTTAATCTTTATATGCGAGATTCTTAACAAAATTGTAGCATATACGAGATAGAAGAACATACCTGGCCAGCGAAATAACCTTGCAGCTTTGTTTTGCCACCACGGTATTGCTCTAGCTGCTTTGGGCTGTCAGCAATCACTTTATCTACCATTTTCTCAATCTCTTGAGGGTCTACAATCTGGCCTTTCAGAATAAAATAGAACTATATATCATGTCTTATTGGAACTACGTTCAAATAGAGAGAATATAAATATATAATGCTCCGTACAAGCTTATCATTAGGCTAACTCAAGTATAAATTTTGGTGTTACTCAGAATAATGTACATAGTTTATGATTGACACAGACCTAGGTGTTTGGGTCTACATCTCGAAACTGATTCTGCTACTTCAAGAAGCATTTAGAATCAGATTTAGAAGCATGTGGGGTCATGATCCTCCAAAACTGATTTAGATTGTAATAGTTTTAATTCCCTAAAAAAGAACAACAACAACAACCAAGTCTTATTCCCTAAAACACTAATCTAGTTAAGTATAAGGACTCATCCTTTTAGTCATTTGGTAAATGATCAGTTTCGAGCACCGGTTTATCAACACATAAAGGTAAGTCTGTTTAAAGGAAAAGAAATTCCAAACACTAAAATATCACTTTCTCATACAGAGAAAATTTGAGTCAAAGCCAAAAAAAGTGAAAAAACCCTGTAAAGTTGTAATAATAACTAAGAATATATGAGAATATACATAGCAAGTTACAATATTGCATAACTTGCCTGAACCAAATCCTTTTCTTTTATCATCCCCTTCACAGTTCCACCCTTGGCCATTATCTCAAATAATATCTGCAAAACTCATGTTGGAACAATTCAAAAGGCATGTTTACTTTAATTATCATGCTTAGACATTGTAGTATATATTTCTCAGTTGACTAGTTCAAGTTTGTTGGTAGTGTGATATGTATATGCCGAATCCAGAATAAATCTTTCCCACAAAAAAAAAATGCCAAATAACATAAAATGAATGTGTTACTATGATATGCTTTAACTTTCTGTCATTTGCAGCAAGTTTATTATACCTCTTTTGCAATCTTCCCGCTGATAGTGCCCTCTTGAATTGCAGAAATGAGCTCAGCGAGTTCATGAGGGGTAAGTTTAATATCACCGATGGCCATCTTTTCATTTTTCAGGTATGCAGCTATGTCACCCATCATCCAATTAGTAGCAAGCTTTACATCTGCACCTCCACCGATTGTTGCATCAAAAAACTCTGCAACCTGTAACATTGGTTTTTTGACACAAAACACTGAGAACTATAGGGTTCAAAGCACAACATTATATTTTTTTTAAAAAGTGCTGCAAGATACAAAAGGAAACTGGGTGCAAATTTCACTTTTCCACACCATCTAAAATCATGTTATAACGTTTCTTGAATCATGCCATAAGTGAATAAAGCCATCGTTGGTCAAAGGAAACAAATGCCCTTACCAAAATTTGGTTAATAAATACAAGCACAACCATCACCAAACACCTCCCAACAAAAAATGAAAATTAAAAACAAACTAACCATCTTTCAATACATCCTTGTCATAAGCTGTAAATTTCATAGAAACTTTCTCAAGATTGTTGGGTTTGCTAATTAAAATAAATACACACGTAGCTCTCTAGTTAATGAAGTAATTGAATTGCTTAGAACAAATAAATACGTAGCTTTCCTTTTTGTTGTAATGCACAAAGCATTAAAGGTTTGCTTCACCAATTTATAAACAAACAACATAGCAACCCACGTACAAAGGAAGTTATAACCCATGACAAATGACCCACTCACCCACTACATTCATGCATGCATACCCAAGTTATTTACATGCATGTAAATAACTTAATTGACCAACTTAACTAATTGACCCAAATTAGACTGACACTAATGTAACGGCACATACGCATATCAGTACCGCTACAACACATGCACGGTGCCATGCGACACACACTACTTGGCATGACTCATCCCGCCGTGCACTAACACTCTAGTCTAAAATGAATCAATGACTCAAAATAAAATAAATTAAACATGATGAAATAATAAACAACAAGGTTAATTCCAACAATCACCTCCTTAACCTTGTTGTCTTTTATTTTGAACTCCTCGCGGACCATCATAGTAGTGCCGGCTCGTCATCGTCGATCGCGGCGGCGAGATGTGCCTGCTCCTTCCTTGGTGTTGTGCAATCCTTGGAGAAATGCCCATACTCGACAATTATAGCATCGAACCTTACGGATGTCGAACATACTCTTCTTCTTTCCGGTGCGGCCACGGTAGCGAGAAAGCCACTCCTCTTCTGTGAGGAGCAAGCGGTCTCCACCGCCATGGTCGTTGTTGTCGACGTCCGCATCACTCCTATCCTCCGCCATTTTGAGCCTTCCCACAAGCTCCTCCATGGACATGGATTTAGGATCGAGAAGTTGCTCAATTGCAATAGCTACCTGGGTGTACTTGGATGGCACGATGCGGAGTAATTTCTTCACAACCTTCACCTCCTCGAGGGTCTCACCGAGGGTGCGAACCTTGTTGGCGAGCCCGTTCATGCACATGGCGAGCTCGTCGATCGTCTCGCCGCTCCGCATGCGGACGACATCAAATTCCTTGAGTAGAGTTTGTGTCTTGGCCTCACGGACACGATCATCACCCACACGCATGGATTTGATGGCATCCCATGCCTCCTTTGCCGTCGCCTTCACGGCAAGCATGGAGTGCATCTCCGGTGGTACGGCTCGCAGAATTGCCACAAGTGCCACCCTATCCTCGGTGAAGCTCCCGCCACCCTCGACAGCGTCCCACACACTTTGGGCCTCCATGTGCAACTTCATGATGAGCGCCCACTCGAAGTAGTTCGTCGCCGTCAACGTCGGATAGACGACGATGCTGCTGGCCTGGTGGACGACACGTTGTTGCACCACCACCTCGCGACTGCCTCGCCGCGTCGGGCTCCATCCACGTCGTACCGGCGAGCGTGACGGAGTGCGCGACCCTTCGCCTACCATGGCTTTGATACCAAATGTTGGGTTTGCTAATTAAAATAAATACATATGTAGCTCTCTAGTTAGTGAAGTAATTGAATTGCTTAGAACAAATAAATACGTAGCTTTCCTTTTTGTTGTAATGCACAAAGCATTAAAGCTTTGCTTCACCAATTTATAAACAAACAACATAGCAACCCATGTACAAAGGAAGTTACAACCCATGACAAATGACCCACTCACCCACTACATTCATGCATGCATACCCAAGTTATTTACATGCATGTAAATAACTTAATTGACCAACTTAACTAATTGACCCAAATTAGACTGACACTAATGTAACGGCACATACGCATATCAGTACCGCTACAACACATGCACGGTGTCATGCGACACACACTACTTGGCATGACTCATCCCGCCGTGCACTAACACTCTAGTCGAAAATGAATCAATGACTCAAAATAAAATAAATTAAACATGATGAAATAATAAACAACAAGGTTAATTCCAACAAAGATTAATTTCAAACGGGGATTTATTTAGAAATTTCTTGGACTTATTTAGAAATTTCAATAAATCCTTTATTAACCATCTTTCTCTAGCTTGTTTATAGTTCCATTTTTAACCTTACTCTTATTCTAAAAGTATTTTAAACCATTCATTCTATATCATTTATATTTATAAACTAGCTTACCACCTAATTTTGGCAGAATACGCTATGAGATCATATGAGCTGAGTAGCTGAGTTATCAGCTATCGGCTAGCTTCTCTTTTTTTACCATACATAGCCTAATAATATAACCAATCGGGGAGGTTACTTACACTAGCGTCATTACTGAGGAATAGGACATCCTGCATGCTTAATCCCATCTTTTCATACCTCCGCCTTTTAATTTCTGGAAGTTCTGGTAGTGACATGGATATACTATGAACATATTCTTCAGTGATAGTGACCCCAGGAAGATCAGGCTCTGGGAAATATCGGTAGTCAGAAAGCCCTTCCTTTTTCCTCATGGTAATTGTCTTCTGAAACAAGACAAAGAATATTATGAGTAAATAAGAAAGTTTTAATATCATGTTGTGGTGGGGACTAGGCCAATGTTAAGCAACACTGTATAACCTGACCACCTTCTTCCCACAGACGAGTTTCTTGTACAATCTGATCACCTTGGCCTTGGTTATGAAGAAGCACCTGTCTTGAAATCTCAAAATCAATGGCCCTACTCATTGATGAGAACGAGTTCAAGTTCTTTATTTCAACCTGTTCATGAAAATCCAGTTAATAAGGCCTAACATGTTATTCACCCCTGCAGATAACATATTTTGTTTTAGGTCCTTGTGAAAAAGTTAAGAATCCTTGTAATTTACAATGTTTTTAGTCCATCTTTGTCAACCTCCAGTCAGAAAAACAGAAGTGGCTCACAAAAATCAACTTTAAGTTTTCCACGTCAACTTTCTACAGGTCATAGGCGACTATTACAGGAGCGAGGGTTAAGAAAAACTCATCATTATCACTTAAAACTTACCACTTTTTGGAACTATGCAAAAGTAAACAAATGACGAATAAAACTACTCACCTTTGTACCAAATTTGATCTGCCCTATAGGACGAACAGAGATATTGACGTCACAACGAAGTGATCCTTCTTGCATATTACCGTTACTCACTCCCAAATATCTGACCAATCGTTGTAATTCAGCAGCATACTCTGCGGCTTCAATACCCGTTCTCATGTCAGGTTCAGATACAATTTCAAGTAATGGCACCCCTGCTCTGTTCAAGTCGACCTGTTAGATCCAGTCCTTACAAGGTTAGCAATAATATAAACAATGAATTGAGTGCCCGTTTGGTAGCCCAGTTTTTCGGCTTATCAGGCTTATCAGCCAACTTTTTTACCAAACGCAGAATTTTTGATTTCGCGCGCTGAATTTTATAATAATAAGAAAAAGTAAGGTTGGAGTTACTTTTGTGACTGTATTGGTTGATATTACTGTAGAGGACCATTTAAGCTATTTTTACATACTCCCTCCGGTTCTCAAAGACCTGCACACTTTGACTTCACACAGTTTAAGAAATTAAATTTGACTTTACTGTGGAGTGCACTGTTTGGCACTGTTTAGACACTGTTTGGCACTGTTTTGCACTGTTTTGGTATAGATAATTTGCCAAATAAGGAAATAAGAAGAAGTGTTGAGTTAATTTTGGGACTTCCCGAAAAGGAAAGTGGGAAGTTGTTTGAGAATCGGGAGGGAGTATAATTTTTTCTTTATGTTATTAATAAAATATATTTTAAATATAATTTTTTAATAAATCAGCAGAATCAGTGAATTCAGCCACTTCAGTCCGAATTTCATAAATTTCAGCACAATCAGCCGATTCAGCCGACTTTGGTATTACCAAACGGACTCTGAAAGCAAACGTTACATCCCATATGTTCTCATAACATATAATCACACAAATGACGGTCACATTTATTTTAAATTTCAATGAAGAGAAGACTTGAAGAAGCCAGGTTAAATGCTTAGGCTCCGTCTGTTTCCTGGAAAATATTCTCCTAGATGAAGTTTTCTGATTTTCATGTTCTTGACTTCTTGTAAGACGAAAACTTTTGAAAACTTATTCATTCATACTTTATGGTGCGTTTGGATCTCACAAAATGATTGAAAGACAATTTAGAGGAAAATTGGAAGAAGAAAATAAAGCATCGGTTCAAACTCAAAAATTGGAAGAAGAAACTAAAGCATTAATTCACACTCAATAAATTTATTTTTGATATTTGTTCAAACTCATTTGATTTATTGATTTCTATCATTTAAAAGAAGTAAATCCAAAAAGTAATGATAATTCATTTTCTTGCATTTTCCTGGGTAAAACCAAATACAAGAAATAATCTTTTCTTAGCATTTTCTATCCTTTCCCTAGCACTTCCCAGTATCCAAACATACCCTTGGAGTTTTGTGGAAAATGATTCCCTTTATCAAATACAGGTATATAAATTATATAAAATACACACACACATAAATAGAAAATTCAGAACATATCAGAGAAGAAATAATTTCCTGGGTATAACTCATGTCACCAATATGAAGCAATTTCCCAGCATCTTCTTCCATGTGAACCCTTGTAATCCCGAACCTCCTATGTCCACCACCAAACTCAACAGGTATTTCCAGATCAAGATAACCTCCAGTTGCAATAGGCATATCAAACTGTGAAATTTGGTATCCCTTTGGAAGGTCTGGATAAAAGTATTGCTTCCTATCGAACTTTGACCTCAGCGAAAGCTTACTGTTCAGTGCAAGACTAACCTTAACAGCAGACTCTATAACCTTCAAATTTAAAACTGGCAAAGCCCCAGGCAAACCCACACAAATGGGACAAATGTTACTATTTGGAAAAGCTCCATAAGTGTAAGGACAGCCACAAAAGGCCTTTGTAAGAGTTGAAAGCTGCACGTGGGTTTCAATCCCAATGATTGCTTCAAAATCTTTGAAAATGTTATCGAGCTGTTTTGGATGGGGTTTTTGTCTACCTTTGGATTGCATCTCTTCCTTTTCCTGTGCCCCAGTCTGGTTTTGTGCACTTTTCGAAGTAAAGCATACAGAGGTGCATTTTCTAAAAAAAATCGGGAATGGGTATTGCTTAGGAGCATAAAATTGAATCCCCCTAAAGAGTGTCACAGCCATCTAACATATGCTTCAATCTACCTTCAAAAGTAAGATAGGTGAAAATAAAGATCGAGCAAATCATCATATACACATTCCGTGAAGGTTTCAATAGAGAATCCCAATAACCCATAACATACACGGAGTTCTTTATTTTATGTTTTGGGTTTTATTTCATTAAATCATTTCTTAATTGAAATAATTAACTATGTTTTAATCTTGTCTTTGTTCAAAACCAGTCATGATTGTATAACGAAGGCAAGTAATTATGTATCAAAAAACTTGATTTTTGATTAACGAGTTTTGCTCGAAGGCTTTGCCCATTTGTGCTTCAAAAATCTGACGAATCTTATAGTCTCCGGCTTTTCCCTTTCTACATATAGAACAATGAAAGGGTAGTAAGGCATATTCACAAACACATATCGTGCATTGCTTGGGCAATTATCTGAATTTCCCATACCACTAGGAGTCTGTATAATTGTTTGTACGATTAGATAAAGTATAGGCTAGCCGAAAGGCAACACAACAAATCACATACGTCCAATAGAAACACTTACCAGTTTTCTGTCAATCCGCAATTCCTAAACCCAGATACAAATCCCGGAAACCTTCTTTTTACTGTAATGCTCCCTGGTCAGAGCTCGAATTAGAGAATAAATTAATACTCATTTCCTCCAGGTTTAGAGGGCTATTCGGAGGACGGTCTGGCGTCGGGGCGATTTCCGACTTCCGAGAAGGGAGATCCGGCGAGAAGGGCCGGTCGTCCGCCCTCTATGTACGACGTTGGAAGACTAGAAGACTGAATCCCGTAGTCAGTATAGTTTTGAGTTAATTATGTGTATGCATGGGACTAATTATGTGTACCTTGGACAATTATATCTTTATAGCTATTAAAATGTTTTAATTCCTAATAAAATAATAATAAAAATTCGTAAAAAATACTAAAAAATTAAGGAAAACATTTCGATATTAAAAATTTAATTAATTTTTTTTTCAAAAAATTAAAAAAATTAAAAAAAAATAAAAACTCAAAAAAAAAATCGCCACCGCCTCTGCCGCCTCAGCACCACCACCTCCAGTCACCAGGGGAAAAAAATGTCAAGTTCATTACGAATGCCATATTTATGGCAGAAAAAAATGAAAATGTTGGCATTCGAAAAAAGAAATATGTCACTTTTTTGGCATTTTCAGAAAAAAATGGCATTTTTCTGGGAAAATGACATTTTTTTCATCGGCCGGAGATGGTGGTGCTCAGAGGTAGTACAGGCGGTGGGAAAGGCATCCATTTTTTTTAAAAATTTTTTTACGGAGTTTTACTACTCCCTCCGTCCCTAATCTTTCTCCCTTTTCGACTGGGCACATTTATTAAGATAGTGGGATTTGTATGGTGGAGAGTTGTGCAGAGGAGAGAGAAATGTGTAAGAATGTGTAAGAATGGTTGTGAACCACAAATTTTTTGCTAAAAGGGGGAAGAGGAAATAATTTTGGGACGGACGAAAAAGGAAAGTTTGAAGATAATTTAGGGACGGAGGGAGTATTTTTTATTAATTTTTTTAAAAATAAAATTATTTTAAAAAAAATTGAATTTTTTATTTTATAAAAAATTTATAAATTTTTTAATTATATTTCTACGAATTTTTGAATTTTTTTCGAATTTATTATGAATTAAACATTTAATTATGGCTTTTGACTATTTTTAATTCATATTTAATAGAAGGGTAAGAATGGAATGCAAAACTAGATATGTTTCCAATAGTACTCATATGGTTCTATTTTGGAATAAAAATATAGCAAGTCATATTTTAGGTTTTTACCATAATTTTAGTCGTATTTGAACTAATTTCTATATAGTTTTCGGTCAACCCAGGGAGTTTCCGGCCGACTTAAAAAACGGGAGTGCTGCTGAAAGAAGTCTCCGTATAATTTTTCCTCAGCTTCTGTATTTTGGGCCATTGGGCGGTAATATACGGAGTATTAGTTTAAGACTGAAATACGGTGTACGCCCGGCCCCATGTGATTGGGACTTTAAAATTGGTATCAAATAGGATTGAGATTTTGCTAGTAAAAATGTTTTTATTTGGATTGAAATTTATTGGTCTGGTCTGTTTAATTTTAGTCTGGTTTAAACTGGTCTGGTTTGCTAAATGTTTAGTCTTTGTGTATTTTATAATTATGGAAGTATGTTCTGATTTGGTCTGTTTAAGTCTGATATTGTCTAGTTTAGTCTGATTTGGTCTGATCTGGGATTGAAAGTAGTTCAAGTAAAAACTGGTTAGATATAAATCTCATTTAGAAGAACCATTTTTTACAAAGACTAAGAGGGGGTGTTTGGAACTGATTCTGGTTCTGCTTCTTTTTTTAAAGTAGAAGCAGAATCAGAATCAGTTTTTCAGAAGCTGGTACCCCCCAGCTTCTAAAAAAATGATTTGAGGAGTAAATTAGAGCACCAGAATCACTTCTGCATTTTCACCCAAACACTCCAACTTCTGCTTCTGCTCCCTGAAGGAGCAGAAGCAGTTTTAAGAATTAGATCCAAACACCCCTAAATGTGAGTATCTCGTCCCATTTATGCGTCTTCTTTTGGTTTGACACAATTATTAATAAAGTGATTGAAGAAGTAAAAATTGAGACCAAAGTTTATTTAAATATGATAAAGTGAAATGTTAGGAACCACATATTTATTTCTAAAAATAAATGTCACACTTATTTTAGGATAATAAAAAAAGAAACACATGTAAAATGGGAAAGGGGAGTATCGAGGCAACTATCTTGCGGTTGATTCTAGGTACTATTCTGATGGGGTATATGGCCCAGGAACCTCCGGCCCATAGACTCTCACTACTATAGCGAAGGCCCAGTAGGTCCAGGAAGCACAGCAGGCCCAAATCACAGCGCCCCAAGTGCCAAACAGCTCACGACGAACACTGGGGTGCCTTCGGCCCCCTGGCTGAAGGCTCATAAACTTACAGTACAGCTGCTTTAAAGCACTCAAAGTGTCTGGGAGAAAGCGGCGAAAACAGTAGCTCTCGGCACCTAGAGCCCTCGGCACCTAGAGGCCCCTGGGATGAAGAGCCTTCGGTCAATCATCTACGGCCGAAGGCATCTCCTCGACAGAATCTCCCACCCACATGCGCCGGATCAACGTACCGAGTACAAACGTCACATCCAACCACCGCATTTAATGCGGCCACATGCGAGTGTCAGTGTCACCCCGTTGAGGCGACCCTTCGACCACCAGAATGATGACATGTGTCCCTATCTGGCATTTATTACTACTATAAATAGCACCTCTTTCCCCATTTGTAATCCATGCTAAATAAGCTCAACACATTCTCAGCAATATATATTCTCTCTCTTACTTTTGCTCTGACTTCTCTCTAGTTACTCCCCGCAGTAACCCCTCGGATAGATACCCCCGGGTACACTTATCCATCATATTCTTTGTCTCTTTGATACTTAACTAGTTACATAATGGAGTATGTGTAAACCTCTATTCAAGAAAATTCTTCTTACTCGCACAACTCGAGATCCTTGAAAATATTAATAATTTAGCCTACATGGCTTTGGAGTTTGATAATGTTGCGTCAGTTTTTAGTTTGAGGTTATGGTAGGATGATTTTATCAAAATAAATACTCTATTTTCATATACATCATTCACTTTTAAATACACATATATAAGGTTTAATTTGGACATTCTTTTTACCTTCATCCTACGGTCCTACCTAGAAAAAGCCCACATAAGCCTTGTGCCACTTCTTCACTATCATGACCGAGGCCGTTGCTTCGTCTTTTATATATGCTCATGGGGAAGTGATGTTCTAAGGCCTATTTTTGTCATGCGCAAGTGTTCATTGTTCAGAGTAGGTCTTGTCGATCTATTTCATAACCTATATGTACGAGATTGTCTATCATGAGCTTACTTAAAAGAGAAAATAAAAATTGCTTCAAATAGTAGTAAAAATAATGTCAAATTCCGAAATATGATATTGCATACTATGTATTGTATTTAAATAGGAGTAATAACTCTCTTTTTAGTGCTTAGCTGCTAGTGCCAAATTTTTATATTATGACTAGAAATTAGTTCGGGCGTTGCCCGAATGTAATATGCCCAACCCTAAAACTTGTTGAATTCTTTTAAGAAATATGTTTAATAAAGGTAAATGAGGGTTGTTCCAATAATAAGCACAATCGCTGGATTAGCAAAGGCAAAAGTCATAACAATAAGTTGTTCTCAAAATATCGAAAGACACTTCTAGGACAATGTCATGTGAGCTGCTAATTAAAAGTGTAACCATTTTATTAGAATGAGGGCTATACTGCTATAGAGAAGGTAATCTAATTAAAATATTAGCATGAAAATTAAAATGACAATTCTTTTTTTATGAATGGTAAATATATTAAAAATGCCAAAAATGCTAAGTACATGAACATAAGGGGGAGGGGCATACCCATATCAATTATCAACAACACAGTATAACAAACAAAACAGTACTAAAGCATCAGAAACCTTTAAAGAACTACGTCCAAATTTCAATCTTCAAAAATCAATGTGGTTAGAGGGATAAAGCCTAAGAAGCACCTTGTACACAAGTCCTTCGATCTCCAGAAACACATCCTTGACTGAAATCACCTTTTGGGAAAAAATGATTTGGTTTCTAGTTTTCCAAACAACATAAACTGTACAGCAAAAGGCTAACAGAATAGTCTTACTCGTTATCATCATTCCCCCATACTCCTTGATACATAATTTGACAGTGCTAAGAACGGTAGATGTATTTTTCCTAATCTTCAACCAATGTCTAACATGCTGCCAAACCTCCAGAGTGAAGTTGACACTTAAAGAACAAGTGGTCAACTGAGTCCATTTGTTATTTGCAAAAACAGCAGGATCTATCCATCTCAATATACAATAAATTAACATGTATTTCTATCATCAAAGATAGACCAAAGCATTGAATTACATTCCATTAGCATTTCACGCTTCTCATACCTTTTTATATTTTCCCTATAGTAAGACTTAGAAATCTTAATCTTAACAATATGACAGACTTTTTTAAAAGTAGATCAAAATTAATATCCATTTCTATCATAAAAAGGTAGAACAAAGCATTGTATAAGTAATTTCCAGTAGCTTTCCCCCCTTTCCCTACCTTTTCTAAGTTCCCCATTGCCTTAAATCTTGGAAACAGCTTTTATAGCAAACTGCACATGATTTTCACAATAGCCAACCCAATTCTTTCATCTGACTCAATATAGGCACATTATCAAACACCTAACATGCGTTAATTGTGATTTTTGAGTGATGTCTTAATCGTATCCAGGTTATTATAAATGCATCCATGGAATTCAAACAATGCATCGCAGGTACTATAGGTTTAAGAGTCATGTAAGCATGAAGAAACATAAATAGAAAACTGGAAAAAAAAACACAAGAAAAGAATAAACTGCATCAAATAAATCGTAAAACTTAAGAGAATAATAGCAAAACTCACCTTCAAAATTCTTGACCAGGCTGTGTGAAAAAGATGAGAAACCCATTGGAAACTCCATTTATAATAAATTCAGAGAAGGAAGAGATTAAAAAATTCTGAAACCAAAATTTCATTGAGTATGTGAATTTAGTTCTAATGTTCCAACTTCTGGAACGGATGGTTGAAAAACCAAGTTGCTCTGGCTTCCAAACGTATTCTAGAAGAGGAGAAGTACTCTGTATTAGTTTTGTTTATCATCTAAACACCTTTTACTAATTAACGATTCCTTAACACTGTATTGATGCATAATAGTTAATGTACCCCATCTAAGGCACAAAGTACATTGAGATAAAGCATAGCCTAAGAGACAACCGAACATTTAATAAGAAATCCATCCTTTATTAAGATAGGTTAATTTCAAGTTGATAGTAATTAATCCTATTTAGAGTAAGACTTTATTATTGGTATTTTGAAATTTCATATGTAATACTTTTATTATTTACACCCTTATTCTAGAATACTTCCTCAGACAAGTTATTTAATGTAAGAATTATAAAGTAGCAATATTGAAACAATTTTGTTTTGAGTTGAAAAAAAGTATAAAACACTCGTAGTAAAAAGTAAATTAAACATAAATATCTAATTTTATTTTTTTGAAATGGAGGCAGATCATTTTACTTTTTGTTTAAGTAAATAAAAGCGAGTTTTACTCAAATAGGATCAAAACAATGTCATTTTTCTAAAATACGACCAAAACAATGTCGGAGTCCGCTGAAGTCGTTGCCTAATTGAACTTATCCGCCAAAGTAGTACTGTTTTTTTATAATTCCAATGATGAGACTTATGCTTCCATAATTTTTGATAATTCGTGCTGCTCCTACCACACGAACTCACTACCTTCATTATCTTTATCTAACTTCTCAATCTTTGAGGTACTCCATGAAGGTAAGGAGAATAATGTGAAGCAAGACCCCTCATCTCCCCTGAGGGGCACAATTGAATCCATGATGATAGTGGAAACTCAGTGAGCCCCGCCTAGGAATAGATTGGGACGGGTCAGCCCAACCCGGGCCCTGGCCCTGCCGGTACTGTACAGGCCCGACCTGGCAGTACCGGGACAGGGGGGCGAACCGGGTTGATGTAATACATGTGAGATTATATAAGGGAAAAATATTGAAAATACCCTAAACTTTGAAGGGTTGTGAGGTAAGCACCCCAAACTTGCATATTTAATTTAAATACCCTACACTTTATATAAAAAGTTATTTTAGCACCGTGGTCATTTATTATTTCTTTCAAAAATGTATTTTTTTTGTGTTAATTTCATAATTTAAAATGTTTTAGCATTCATGAAGATACAATTAACATTCTAAAATTTCATTGTAAAATAAATAATACTATCGTATTACCCCCACTCTATTTAATTGCAGCGTTTTTTATTTTTTATTCTTAATTGTGCAATTAACAACATAAATTAACATTTTTGAAAAAATTAATATATGACCATGGTGCTAAAATAATTTTCTATATAAAGTTTAGGGTATTTAAATTACATATGAAAGTTTGAGGTGTTTATCTCACACCCCTTCAAAGTTTGCGGTATTTTAATTATTCTTCTCATTATATAATGAGGTGTTGAAGGTTGAAGGTTGAAGTTATCAAGTAATTCAGTTAATATTTGCTTTCAACAATTAAAAAATTGACATACGTATGTTATTAGGTTTTTGGTTTATAATCATAGTCCTTAACCCAAAATACATTGCCCAATTTCTCTGTCGTAGAAATTGGTAAATTATACCGTACATCCAGGTATTTTTGTAATATTTTTTACTTTCATTTGTAATCTTTCTTCTTGCGCTATGGACTACAGGGCCGACAGTCATGATCAACAGCTTTTATGGAGATGCGGCCCACACATAGTGAGTAGGCCCCTTTTACATAGTGAATTTCACCGCGGTTCTTTTTCTTGAATCGACCCGTCTTGTTTTTTTTTTGCTTTCTACGTACTTCCTTTTGATTTCTTTTTTCCTTTTTTTTCTTATCCACCTTTTCCATTGATTTTAATTTGTGATGGATATTTAAGATATTAATGTTTTCTTTTTCTATTTTCAATTTAAGATGAATATTTATTAGATTATTAAATATTACTATGTATATGCTAATTACTAACATGAGTTTTGTATTATACTAAAATAATTATAGTTTAAAACAAATATGCATGAGTAAACATTATAAAAAGAACTCGATTATATTTTTAATTCCAGAAAAAAAAGACTATACTTATTTTTAATATAAATTTAGTATATCTTTCATTACTATATTTGTCATTATAATATATTTGCACAAATAAATATTTAAAACACATTAGAGAATTCAAACAAGCTTTTGAATTTTTGAAAACTAATTTTGTAAGTTATGTATGTCCATTTAGTACCTATACTATGCTCATTTTTAGAAAATGTTATATCAATACATATTTTAAAATTACATTAGGGCATAGAAGTTGATTATAGACACTAGACCACAAATCATGATACTCAATTGCACGATTCTAATACGCAATAATGGAAAGATAATAAAACATTTAATTAATATTCGCTAGTAGCCATTAAAAGTCAGTGCCTATATCATCATGAATGGAACTATGTATATGTCTAGGGGGGCCATTGCCCCTCCCAACATTTTTAATTTTTTTATTATTGGCTTGTAGTTTATTCCCCCCCCCCCCCCCCCCCCCCTCCCAATTTGTATTTCCTGTAGTAATATAGTAGTTCGAAATATGTTTATAGTTATACTCTGTACTACATTTATAATTTTTCAATACTTTATTAAAATATCATATGTATAAAAACATTATATATTCTAGAAGTAGTCATTTTGGAAAATATTAATCTATAACAACACTATATTTTGAAGAAGTGATTATTACCCCATAAATAATATTCGGTACTCCGTATATAAAAATATATTATTAATAATATATTATGGAGTAGTATTGGAGATATCTGTCTTAAAGTATCTAATATAAAAGATTTATAAGAAAAAATTGGTATACTAATTTAATAAACTTTAAGAGGAGTATATTATGTAATAGCATTTTGCCCCCCTACCCTCATCTCCTGGCTCCGCCCCTGTATATCATACATCCAGTTGTAATCACGGCTTCCGTTAAATGAGCATTAATGTACTTTTACTGAGCATCTGACCTATTTTATTGAGTATTAAAAACCAAATAATGAGCATCACGATCTCCGTTTCATATCATCCAAGTAATTTTCTCTTTCTTATTTTTTCTTTTATGAAAACATTTCAAATTATATCTATAATAGACTCCTATGAATTTCAATATGCAAATTTAATATACTATGATATTTTTGAAATATGCATTGATATGACATTTTAAAATGAGCATAACATCAGTACCAAATTATCATACGTGACTTACAAAATGTTCATTGATATCAAATGTGGATCGTTGCGCTTACCGCTACACTAAAAGCAATCGCTGATAGTGAAGCACGCTCCTCCCCCTTTATAGCATAAGCGAAGCGCCACACAGTTCGATTGCACCGGCAGGCTGGCAGATTGCTGGCACCACATACCCGCGGCCCAACATCAAAATCGTAAAGCTCGTTAGTATAACATAACGACATTTTCGTTGACCACCAAACATCCTCTATTGAGATGAAAATCACGATTTCTATTAAATGAACATTAGTGAACTTTTAATGAGCACCTATTCTTTTTCTGTTGAGAATTTGTGACTTTTGATGTTCAATGAAAATGTTTTGATGTTCAATGAAAATGTTTTGATGCTCAATTAAAAAACTTATAATTTTAATATCGATGCTCATTTTGTAAGTTACATATGCTCAACTTATACTCATTTATGCTTATTTTTTATTTTTTTCCTTTACTTTTACTTCTAGCTAGTTGGTTTTACTTTCTTTTGTTTTGTCTTTTTTCTTTACTTCTTTTCATTTCTTTATTTGTTGTTTACTTCTTTCTTTTTCTTTATATGTTAATACGCTGAACACATTAGAAATGAGTTTTACTTAAAATTCAATTATTCAAATGAGTAAAACGCCTAAAAAATGAATATACAAAAATGAGCTTTTGAATTTTGGATACTCATTTTGTAAGTTATGTATGTTCATTTAGTATTTCTGTTAGGCTCATTTTTAAAATTTTTAACAATGCATATTTCAAAAGTCTCATATTACATTAGATTTATATACGAGTTGATTATAGACACGAGACCACAAATCATGATACTCAATAGCATATTCTAATACTCAATAATGGAGGTTTGATGTTCATTGAAAATGTCTTGATGTTCAACGAACAAAACTTATCATTTTCATATCAATGTTCATCTTCTAAGTTACATATGCTCATTTGTACAGGTATAATGCTCATTTAACAGAAATCCTGATATTCATCGATCTCAATAAAGAAGATTTGATGCTCAATCAAAATGTCGTGATGTTCAACTAACAAAGCAACTAACAAATTCATTAATGCTCATTAGTAAGTTATGCAGCCTCCTAATACTCGATAAAATAGGCCATATGCTCACTAAAAGTACAATATTGCTCATTAGCGGAAACTGTGACTTTTCGATTAAATTACAGAAATGCCACACCGGACTCTCTCTTTTCTTATGGGCTTTTTCTTATTCAGGGATAATCCTGAGATCAAGGAGAAGCTAAGCCTTTAACTCATGACAGAAGTTTCACCAGAAGGCTGTTGGTTTGGCATATATCTGAGGAAAAGAAACTCTATCCAATACGATACCAGTGATCACCACACATTAATTCCATCGGAGGCTTGTGCCGATTTCGAACATATTAAATGACCGATTGCTACTAGAAATCAGTGTTGTCAGAATTGGGGCACTACCGGAGAAGATGATGGTGCCGCGTTCGTAGGCCAGGTGTAATAAAGGTGACTGTTATGCGGACTGGAAGCCATAGAGACGAAGGAGCAGATCATCGGCGCCAACTATTGTTGTTGTACTCATACCTCATCCGCAAAGGGACTAATCGGCAGATGGAGTTCGGCGGTAGATTTAGATGAAGTTCCGCTTGTGACATAACATTGGGCCTTTTGTTATGGGCTTCATTACTTAATTGGACTCTCTTTAATTGAACCGGATGTACCTACATCCAGGTGTATAGTATAGGAGCTCCGTAGAAATTAGTATGAGTATGTTATTAGGTTTTTTATTTATAATTAGAGTCATTCCATTT